ACACACACATACACACAAGCATGTCTCTCTTTGATCTCCAAAGGACACTCCATTTACAAGCTCTTAATCGCAGCTGTCTTTTCGGGCCTGTCCTCTGAAGTCCCGAGTAATGGGATTTGGTGCCTCTGATCCATCTTGGGCTGGTCGCTCTCCATTATAGGTGGACATTTTTCCCCTTTTTTACTTTTTTTTTTATTCTCGAAAAAAATGTCTCTTAAATCTCACTGACTTGACATGGCTTGTCGCCTAGCCCTGGGAGTGGTGGATGGGAGAGGGGCAGGCAGCCGATATGCCAAGGGCCTGGCCAGTTGGGGGTCTTTGATGCCGCTTCTATGTGAAATCTAATGTGAAAGACCATGAGAGCGATTTTCGGGACCATCGTGCGGTGGATTCATTCTGCCTCGTGCTGTTTCCTTTGTCTGTCTTCCCATGACCCCTCCTTGGGACATTTGGGGAGAGGGTCTCAGGGTGAGGGTGCGGGTATGCATACACATGCATGTGAGGGTGCAGAGGACAGGACCTCAGCCATAAGAACAAAGGGCAGCAGGGAACATGTCCACCTGTCTGCCTGTCCATTCTTTCGTCCGTCTGTCCTTCCGCCCGCCCAGCTTACCTCACCTGCCTGGCTCTGTGTGCCTGCTCGCGCCCCACCATCCTGCGGTCCGCCATGATGGGCTTGGCCGTCTGTCTGAGCACTTTCAGCCACTCCAGGAAGCGAGTCCCTGCTCTTGGCCACTGTGTGGCTGGGAGGAAGAAGCGTGACTCTAGGCTGCAGCTCGGGCTCCCACCGCCGATTGGCTGAGGCAGGGACCAGATGACGGCCTCGGAACCCTATGGTAGCCATGGCAACCAGCCCCTTTAGATACCGCCACCCCCAAGCCACTCCTGACAGCTGAGGGAGCAGGCAGCGCCGCTGATGGGTCCACGCCAGGGTCCCCTCAAAGGGTGGGATCAGGTCTGGCTGGATGGTGGCAGTTCCTGCACCAGCTGTTAAATGTTTTCATGTGTGTGTGTTTCATGAATGTCCACTGTGAAGGGTCCCTGTCCGTCTCTCAGGACATGTCCCAGGTTGCTCCATACCCTGCCTGACCCCCTAGTGGAGGCAGAAACAGTGTCCTTGCAGCCCCTGCTAATAGGAGTTCAGGTTAGGCTTGCCCCAGGGGCTAAATGCCAGGCCCAGTCTCATGAGAAAATAATGAGTGAGAACAACAGAAAAAAGAACAGAATGAACTGCCCAACCCCAGGTGGACAGAGCCAAGCTTGTGGTCCACCTTAGACTCCAAAGGGCCTGCCAGCTCTATCTCTGCCTGCCCACCCCTCCTCTGCACTCATTAGTCTGTTGAACACACAAACACAATTACACAGTCCCCTCTCAGCCTTTAAAGGCCCTGGCATAGCTCTGATACCCACAGATCTTGTGTCACCATCTACCGGACTATGGGACTTCAACCACACTAAGCACACATTCTCCAACCCTGCAGAAATTGGCCACATACCCGTAACCTTGCACCTTGTTCTCCCCTTGACCAGCACCCCAGGCCCCTTGGTGAGGTCTTCCCAAACGTCTCAAGACAAGGACTTCTCAGCAAGGGCATAACACAGCATCACTAGTAGGTGCTACAGAGCATAGAGCATCTAAGAGCCATTCATACTCCATCTCTGTGGCAGCCCTTGGCCTGTCCAAATGCTCCTATGGATGAGTACCACCTGGTCAAGGCCCCCAAGAAAGCCACCTGAGAGCCCAGCTCACATCTGCTGAACACAGGGTTGCATAAGGAACAGCTGCCGGGATACGAGGAGTAGGTGTGGGCCTCAAGCCCCAGGGAAGAGGCCAGGACTGAGGTAGGCCCCCGGGGGCCCAGAGACTGCTGATGAGGCCACTGACAAGGCCAGAGGACCCAGGATCAAGGGGGAGCCTGGAACACAAATCAACAGAGGTCACACATCCAAGGGTAGGGGCTCAGGGCAGGCTAGGCTGGACCCAGAACCACAGGGCAAAGAGGCTGCTTGGGTAGCCCCTTAACTTGCTCACACTTCACACTGCCTTCACCCCAAGCTGCCTGGTCACAGGACTGAGCCCCCAGCTTTGAGGGCCTACCCCATAGGGCAGGATGACACCAGCAGCTAGGTCTTGTCCAGGAGTAAGGCCTGGGTCAGCTGATGGTGATAAAGGGTCCTGGACTTGCAGCTCCATTCTGGGGATCAGGATGAGCCGGGGAGGGCTCTAGTGTGCAAAGGTAGAGTGCAAGACAGGATAGCACAGGGCTGAGGTTGCTAGAGGGTTCATCTGGCCTAGAGCTCCAGCTTGGGGACAGTTGGTGAATGGGAAGAAGAGGGGTCTGAGGAAGTCCGAAGCTGGCAGAAGGTCCAAGGGGTGGCAATGGATAGTGAAGGTAAAAATGAAGTTCAAGCTCAGGCTCAGGGAAAGGCAGATGGTGCAGATGGGTGGGCCTCACAGTGGCTCCTCTGAGCTCCCAGCACCCTGATGGGACCCAGGGCAAGGACAAAGGTGCCCAGACCTCATTTTCTCTCTCCACATCCACCACTATGCAGCCACTGTGTACCAGAGCAGGACTCAGGTGACATCCTCAGGATGAAGAGTTAGGAGCACAGTCCTGAACTGGGCCCCACCCTTTCCGGGACTCAGAGACACCAGAATGAGACAGTGGACATACATGGTATTGATGGCCACTCTTTTGTCACAGGCCTCCACTGCCCCAGTCCCAAAGGACCCCTCCCCAGTCCATGGCCACAATGATGGTCCACTCTGTGTCCACAGCCCAGTCATGGCCCTTGACAGTGAAGCTGACTGGTTGGGCTGTTGTCATGTAAACACATGGGCTCCGCCACTCCCTGGGACACAGGAGGATCAAGAGGGCTCCTGGGGAGGGTCTGACCCAGCTGCTACAGGGACAGGGGTATGGGCTAGCGCAGGGCAGGTCTAGCTTCTATAGGTTTGACCATGGTCAGTACAAATGACCCCACAATCCAGGGGCCTAAGGGGCTGCAGGGCCTCATCAAGGGGGAACCAGAGGTTCTCAAACAGACACATCAATGGAGATTGGTGGAGGTGTGGTTGATGGGGTGGGGGTAATGAGGAAGGCAGCTCGGGCAGTGTGACCAGGGCCTGAGAGCGGACTATGTGGGGGGACAGGGACATGTGGCCAGATGGGCCCCAATGGCTCAGCTCCTGATCCCTGTGAGCACATACAGTCCATGTTCCCCTCCCCACCTCCACCTCTCAGAAAGTGGAACAGTACGGCAGATCCAGCCTGCAAGTGGCCTATTTTATTTGTGGTGGGGGATGACTCCGTCAATCGCTGAGGGCTTCTTAACCTTTCCTGAGTCAAAGGTATTTGTGAGAATTTGAAGAAACAAGCAGATGCTGCCTCCTTCCAGGAGAGCTGGAAGGCCACACTCAGACTGCCACCTCAGTCCAGCCACAGTTATCGAGAAGTGAGTGACCTGCTGAAGCCGTGCCAAGCTCCTCCCGCTGTCCAGCAGCATCAGAAGCCAGGGAAACAGAGCCAGCCAGGACTCGGACACTACCCTGGCCCAGCAGTGCTGACATGGAGACTGACACCCAAGTTTGTCCCCACCCTGTGCCAGCCCAGGTCCCTTGGGGACCCCAGGAATCGGACACATGAGCCCTACAGGTCCTGGGAGGAGCCCCTTCTACCTGTGGTCTTTGTTGGGGTATAAATCAGGTTGAGGAGTGACTGAGAGCCAAGGTCAATGAACTGAGGGCATCTGGGGTGCACACCACAGGGGGTACCCAGGAGACTGGCTGAGAGCTAGAAAGGGATCAGTTTGATTCAGTTCAGGGTTGATGAAAACTGTGATGTGATTATGAACATGGGGAGGGCTGGCCCATGCAGAACACAATTAGTCTGGTTAAAGCCAGGGGCTGTAGTTCAGACAACTAGGCTGGCCCATGCAGGTCCACCAGAGCTGAGGCAGGGCCAGGGGCAGGGGCAGGCTGGGAAATGTCAGTCTTTGATAAAATTTTTTAAATATTAAAAACTGTTCAGCCCTGGCTGGTTTGGCTCAGCAGTTGCAGCGTTGGCCTATGGACCAGAGTCCCGGGTTCAGTTCCCGCTAGGGGCACGTACCACAAAAAAAAACTATTCATAAAGTAGGGACATTACATGAGAAATCGCTGATGTATGGGAAGCATAAGGACACTATGGAAGAGTGTGGGACTGTGACAGTTTATCCAGCTATGGACAGAGATCTCAGGGATACGGCCCCCAGGGCTGTGACCCCAAGGCAGGCCCTGACCCTCGATGACCTCATGAGCCATGGGATCACAAGGGCCCTCCCGCAGCTGTGCCCACTGACCAGCCATGCCCACTGGCCAGCCATGCTCTTTGGCCAGCTGAACACTCCCTCTGGTCTCCACTACCAGGAACACAGCCCAGGTGTTGTTGCTTCCACATCACCCTTCAGGGGAGCCCAGCACCCCTCAGCCAGTTGTCAGGACCAAGTCAGAAGAACCCTTCCCTGTGTGCCCAGAGACCTAAATAGGTCTCAATGCTGGACTTCCAGGAAAGGGTCAGAGAAGGTCAAGGCACCCTCAAATCTCAGAGCGGGAAAGGCCTCAGGGTGACGGACCCAAAATCAAGTGTGGGGAGAGGGGACACCCAGATTGCAGGTCCAGGTAGCTGTGCTGACAGAGGTCTGTGTCAAGGTTTTCCTAGGATACCCTGCCACCTGCACAGCCTCTGAGGGCCCCTGCACCTCTGAGCTGGTGGGGAGTGTGAGGCATGGTCCCATTCACACAAAAGGGCATGCCAGCATGGCTATTTCCCAGTCACTCCCAGGGCCAGGCCACAGCCTCCCTGCCTCTGCTTTGGAAACATTCCAGAATAGGGAAGATTTACTATGTGGAAGGGCAAGCACCATCCTGCCCTATGGCAGAACACCTTCAAATTCTCAGGATTCTCTCCCAGAGGAAAGAAAAACATCAAAACAAACCCCAGTCCCACAGCTCAGCTGGGAACCACCACCCATCTCAGCCATGTCCAGGGTCCCTGGGGCAGGGCAGGGGGTGATACGGTCAAGGAATATGCAGGAGAGCTCCAGTCCTCCAAGTAGGCAACACACACGTGGCCCGGGTCAGACTTTACTCATGCTGCCCCCAAGATGTGGTGAACTTGTCTGGGCCTCTGCTGCAGGCAGTGGGGGATCTCAGAGGCAGTGAGAAGGCCCCAGGCCTCCAGAAATCCTGGAACCAGATGTCCATTAGGGCCTCCACAAAGTCCACCACATCCAGAAGCTTCACAGTTGCACACACAAGAACAGTTCACCCACTGCCCACAGTGGCTCTTGTCACCGCCCCAGACTGTGTCCACAGTGCCAAAGGTAGAGGGGTGAGGTGGCTGGGGGACAACAAAGTATATTGAGCCTGGCTATCAGGCACGGGTCAGTCACTGTGCAGTCACTTCCCGCTGGCTCTCTTCTGCACCACCGCTGGCTCAGACAGTGCCTGCTGCTGAAGCCGCTCAATTAGCTCCTCCACGTAGACCTTGAACAGAGGGACAGGGTCCTACAGGGGCAAGACGGGGTCACAGTGAGGCACTCTTGGGAGGGCAGAAATCCAGCTGCCTTTGGCAAAACACCAAGAGGAACTGGGCATGAGAGGACTGGGCCCCTCAGGCTTGGCCATAAGGTCAAGTGAGGTTGCTTGCCACCCCTTAGCTCCCACTCCAGAGGGTAGTCTCCTGTCCATAAGACAGGGACTGCCTTCCCTTGGGGATGCAGGAATCAGGCGCCTGCCCCAGTTCTTCTGCTTGGGGCCCAGTGGACAGTTAAACCAAGCAGAGGGAACAGGGGCAGCCAGCTGCCATGCCATGTGGGTGCTCTCTGTCCCAGCAGCTACCACAGGCTCCACTCCCTCCTAGGGGACAGACACAAAACACTCTCAACTGGGATATGCTAAGTGGCCAAGGAAACCAATAGTGCCAAGATTCCAGCTCTTATCACCGAGAGTCTTTCTGTCCCTGAATCTATGAAGTAGGCCAGAGAATGCAGGAGAGGGTCAAGACTATGCGGGGAAGAGATGTGCCATGTGGAATCCACAGTATTGTGGCTCCAGCTGGACAGCTGTGTAGAGGCAGCTATTTCCCAAGCCCACCTCATGTGGCAGCTCCTCGTCCAAGCTACCCACAAGGCAGTGCATTTCCCCATCCCATCCATCTGCTTGGCCCCTGTGCCCATCCAAGAGGGCAGAGCAGCTGGCACTCACACATGCTCACCTTCTCCTCCAGAAGCCTCTGCTTCTCCACAGCTTCATCCAGTGTCAGGCCGACCCACTCGGCCTCCTCCTCCTGGATGACAAACTCCTGGGCAGGCAGACATGGGACATGTGATGAGGCCAGGTGGTCAGCTACTGGGGCCCCTGAGGAGCAGGAAGTCCAGGCCCAAATCCTCACCTTGTATTTGTCATAGATGGCTGCCCTCCTCTCGGGATCATCTGGGTGCAGCTGAGGGTCCTGTCGAGCAAGCCTCAAAAGCATCCCTCGCTTCAGGTCCATCCCAAACTTGGAGCACAGGTCCTCCTTCGGGGTCTGGCAGGAAGCTATGAATGGGGCCAGGTGCTGCTGGCAGGGTCCCACCCACCCCACCAGCCAGCCCCACCTGATCCTCTACAGCAGTCCCCAAGCCAGAACAGAGGAAGGAAGAGCCAAGAGCAGGGGAGGAGGAGGCTGTGTTCACTTGGGCCCTGGAGGGCAACACAGCCACCTGTAACAACATACTCTCCTGTGGGCAGAAAGTCCCCACTGGGGCTGCCCGGAAAAGAGGCATGGTCCCATTCACATTTCACTGGTGACCCTCCACTCCAGAGACCAGTGTGCCCCAGCAGGTGCTGTGATCTAGCTTCCCTTCTCTGAATGGCCATCAGACCCCTCTTGCCTTCAGTATGTAGAAGTCAAACCCATAAGCCTCATCGATGAGGTCTAGGGTGCGCATAGTCACAGTTACAGAGAACTTCGTGTCCAGGATCTCACTGTAGAGCTCGCGCTGAAATAGCTGTGGCTTCCACACCTTCTTCACCCTCTTTGAGAGCTAAAAAAGGAAGATTCCTCATGAGTGTGGCTGCTTCTCCCAAAAGACCTAAGTGCGGCCCAGGCATAGAAACTCGGGACATAAACCCGTTGCCCATCCAGAAGTCAGCTTCTCCCCAGCCAACTTGGCACCCCAGACTTTGCCAAGGTTGCTGGTGTGCTTTCCAGACACACTACACACACAATCATAACTCCATGGTTCACCAGTCACCACATTCCACACCAGGGACCAAGAAGGCAAACGGAGGGGTCAGTCTGAAAGGCCTCCCCGGGAGGATTCAGCAATCCCTTCAGGTTTATCACCAGAGGCAGCAAGTGTTGAGCGAAAACTCAGGAGACCTGCCCCCAGGTGAGTGTCTCAGTCTTCCAAAATGCAATGAGGAGGTGGTAGTGCCAGCCTTGTCTCAGAAGTGTCAGAGGCAAACTACGATTCAAGCTGACAGATGGCTGCTGACCTCTCTGCCTCCCCCACACACACACACACACACTTGATCTGGGCCATCACCTCAGGGCCTCTGCACTCGCTGTTCCTGATATGGACCACCCTGTCTCAGGATACCCAATTGATATTACAAAAAGTAGCATTCCCTAGAATTGTGCCTCTTCGCTCTAGCATGCTCCTTTGAGAGACCTGTCTCCACCAGACTATAAGCTCTCCTGGGGACTGGTCGGTCTCCTTTTGCTCTCCAGGTCCCTCCGGAGCCCAGCAAGGTGTCCAGAGCAGCAAAACCCCGGGGAGTCCCCCTGAAGCCTACCCTGCTCACCCACCTTGTCGTTATTGACATATCTGTGGCCCAGAATCCAGCCCTCTCCGCCCCAGAGTCCCAGCTGGGACTCGCGGGGGTAGTGAATGGGAATGGGCACGTCCTCCACGCGCTCACGCTGCCCATTTCGGGGGTTGATCTTGAACTTGGCTCCGTGTGGCCTGTAGTGCACGGGAGTGGGCGTCCGTGCCTCCTCCAGTGAGCGAAGGTAGTGCTGGGGCAGGCGGGAGTAGATGCCCTCCCGCAGCCGTAGCCGCTTCCACAGAACGACAGGGAACTTGTGCAAGGGCATCGTGGCCAGCCTGGAGGGAGGCAGAAGACCACTATCACGCCGCAGCCTGGCTGACCCCCGCACTCTAGGGCGGCCCCGACCCCCAACCCTGGCTTCGAACACCCGCACTGACCCTGCTCCCGACCTCAACTCAAAAAACCAGACCGCGACTAACCGCTAGAACCTGAGTACCACTCCAAGCTCCGCGCCCCGCCGGAACCGGAAGTTGTTCTGCGGCGGATACTTGCCCTCCACCCATCACTGACTGGCTGCATAGCCCGTCCATCCATCCCTATCCCACCCACTTCTCCGCCTTTAGGGACCGTGGAAAACGTCCTGCGAAGATTTAGGCAGCTCTAGGCACCGTCGTCATGAGCGGCCGGTTTTCGGCGAGCAGCAGCCCCGGGTTCAGGGCTTGTCGTCCTTAGACCTACCTCCTTTCTTCCCTAAACGAGCGCAAAAAAAAAAAAATGTAAAAAACTCTTGCCATGAAATATACTGTATCCCTGCTCGGCGGTTGTGGCTTAGTGGTTAAGCGTGGACCCACGCACCAAGAGGTCGCCAGTTCGATTCCCCGTCAAGCCACATGTCCCACTTGTGGGCCAAATCCCCAGTGGGGGGCATGTAGGAGGTGGCCATTTGGTGTTCTCTCTCATCTATGTTTCTATCTCTTCCTCTCTAAAAATCAATAAAGTAAAAAAAAAAGAATGGAAATATACTATATCACTGGCCAGGTTGCTCAGTTGGTTGGAGCGTCCTTGGCACCAAAAGGTTGTGGGTTTGATTCTAGGTCAAGGAACATGTCTAGGTTGCAGGTTCGATCCCCAGTCCCAGCATGTGCAAGAGAACCAATCATGTTTCTTTTCTTCCTTCCTCTCTAAAATCAGTAAACATATCCTCTGTTGAGGATTTTTAAAAAGAAATGCCCTGGCCAGTTTGGCTCAGCGGTTAGAGCGTCCGCCTGCGGTCCGGAGAGACCCGGGTTCGGTTCCCACTAAGGGCACGTACCTCGGTTGCAGTTTGTCCCCAGCCCTGGTTAAGTTGTGCGGGTGGCAGCCACTCGATGTGTCCCTTCATGTCGATGTTTCTCTCTCTCTCTCCCTCTCTCTCCCTCCCACTCTACCTGAATAAAAAATGGAAAAATGTCCTCTGGTGAGGATGATAAAAAAAATAAAAAAATAAAAATAAATAAAAATAAAAATAAAAATAAATAAACCTGTAGAGGGAGCATTTGAGGTCTTGCTCCCTGGGGTTGTCATCAGTTTGGCTCAAATAAACTTTTTTGTTTGTTTGTTTGTTTGTTTTATCCTCACCCGAGGACATTTTTTTTATTTTTTGTTCAGATAGAGCCGGAGGGAGAGAGAGAGAGAGAGAGAGAAACATCAACGTGAAAGAGACGCATCGAGTGGCTGCCACCTGCACAACCCAACCAAGGCCGGGGACAAACTGCAACCGAAGTACATGCCCTTAGGGAGAACCGAACCCACGTCTCTCTGGACCATAAGCCAACGCTCTAACCCCTGAGCCAAACAGGCCAGGGCGGCTCAAATAAACTTTGATTTTTATTTTACTTATTTATTTCTAACCCAAGGATTTTTTTTTTTTTTTATCCTCACCCGAGGACATTTTTGCATTATTTTTTGTTCAGACAGAGCGGGAGGGAGAGAGAGGAAGAGAGAGAGAGAGAGAAACATCCATGTGAAGGGACACATCGAGTGGTTGCCACCCGCACTACCAACCAGGGCCGGGGACAAACTGCAACCGAGGTACGTGCCCTTAGCGGGAACCGAACCCAGGTCTCTCTGTACTGCAGACCGACGCTCTAACCGCTGAGCCAAACCGGCCAGGGCAGATATTTTTTTATTTATCTTCAGATAGAGTGGGAGGGAGAGAGAGAGAAACATTGGTGAGAGAGAGACACATTGACTGGTTGCGTCCTGCACGACCTGGACCAGGGCTGGGGCTGAACCGCAACAGAGGTATATGCCTTTGGCTGGAACTAAATCCGTGACTCATTGGTCCATGAGCCGACACTCCACTGCTGAGCCAAACTGGCCAGGGCTTAAATTGATTTTTAGAGAGAGTTAAAGGGAGAGGGATAAACAGAAAGCGATATCAGAGTTAAACTTGATCGGCTGCCTTTCCACACGCTCTGTCTGGGATAGAGCCAGCAACCCAGGCATGTTCCCTTACCAGGAATCAACCAGCAACACTTTGGTGCCCAGGACTGCACCCAACCAACTGAGCCACGCCAGACAGGGCTCAAATAAACTCTTATAAAAATGTTAAAATGTAGCACTGGCCTGGTGGCTCAGTTGGGAGAGCATCATCCCGTACAACAAAAGGTAGCAGGTTCAATTCCTGGTCAGGGCACATACCTAGGTCATGGGTTTGACCCCTGGTCAGGGCATGTACAGGAGGCAACTAATGGATGTTTCTCTCTCTCTCTCCTTCTCTAAACATATCCTTGGGTGAGGATTATACATATATGTCTATCTATATATAGATATATATTTGCAGAATTGTAAAAATTTTTTATACTCACCCGCGGACATTTTTCTATTTTTTGTTCAGATAGAGTGGGAGAAAGAGAGAGGAAGTGAGAGAGAAACATCGATGCAAAAGGGACACATCGAGTGGCTGCCTCCCACATGACTCAACTAGGGCCTGGGACAAACTGCAACATAGGTACATACCCTTAGCGGGAACCGAACCCGGGTCTCTCTGGACCGCAGGCCGACGTTCTAACCGCTGAGCCAAACCGGCCAGGGCTAATTATAGAATATTAAATTAACTAATCACAGTGAAATCAGAGCTACATAAAATTGTTAATGTTGCCCTGGCCAGTTTGGCTCAGCAGTTGGAGTGTCGGCCTGCAATATATACATATATATATATGTATATATATATATATGTCTTAAAATTTTTTATCTCCCAAAACACCATATATAAATGTTTCCCCTTTATAAGCCTAGAAAATGCTATGGTGGTCACGTGCAAGGTGACTGAAAGTGGGGAGAACTCTAGGGAGGCCACACCCTGGACAGGACCCAGAAGGGAAGCCCCAAGGGCTCTGACCCTGGGCCTCAGTGACTCTGGCTTCCCATAGCCCTGTTCCAGACCCCTCATACAGATAGCAGGTCACTGCTCCTCAGGGCAATCAGTGCCCTTTACCCTGCTTCCCCCACAGAGGAGGGAAAAAGGCGAGTCTCTCTATCGGCCCCCTTCCCAAACTCATGCTTGGGTCAATGCAGGGTGGCGGGCATCACCTCCACTCCTGACAGCAAATCAAAAGGATGCTCCCAGCCCTGGCCGGTGTGGCTCACCAGGTTGGGTGTAGTCCTGTGCACTGAAAGGTTGCCAGTTCAATTCCCCATCAGAGCACATGCCCAAGTTGCAAGCTCAGTTCCTGGTGGGATGTGTACAGGAGGCAGCCAATCGATGTTTCACTCATATCGATGTTTTTCTCTCTCTCCCTCTCCCTTCCTTTCTCTAAAATTCAATAAAATACCTTTAAAAAAAAAAAAAGAGGATGCTTCCCAGACAAGGGCCCAGGAATCCATGGGAAGAGTAGGGACACAGAGTTGGGACAGAGTGTGCCCTGTGTTGCTGGCACCCACAGAGCAGCTTGACAGCCCACTCCCCAGGATGCTCTTCACAGGGGCCTGCAGCTTCAAAGCTGATATCCAAAGGGAGGGGAAGGGCAGGGCACCATAGCCAGAAGCCAGCCTTTCCCATGCCACCACTCATGGCAGCGGGACCCTAGGTTCCCCAGTGCCTATTAACTCTCTGGTGGCCATGGTCACCTCTTACTACAGCAACTGCATCACTAGGGGGCATCCACATGCCCAAGACAGACTGGCATTCAGGGGCACAGCTCCCAGCCTCAGCGGTGTTGGGGGGCCAGTGGGAGGTGGACTCCTCTGCCTCCCTGGGCCTCCCATCACAGTCTCTCAGGGGAACAGAGTGAAGGGGGCCAGCAGAACACAGAGCCCGCCCCAAACAGTAACTATCGTCTCCAAGCAGCCAGGCCCTGGCTCCCAGGGCCACTGCAGAAACCAGCTGGGACCAGCAGAGGGATGGGGTCAGCTGGCAGCTCGCAGGCACAAGGAAACTGGGGGTGAGGTCTTCTCCTCGGGAGAAGCAAATGGGTGTGCAGGGCAATTTTATTCAGTTGGAAATCCATCTGGACAGGGTCCCTCTCCCTTGGTCCTGCCCCTGGCTGGAGAGGTCATCAAAGCTGTGGGTGTCCCTGAGTTGTCTGCATCACGTCATTGTGTATAGCTCCTCCCGGTGGTTCTTGCAGATCTGATAGTGGCAGGTAAGCCGTGAGCAGGCCCAGGGCTCACCATGCTTGTCACGTGGTGGCAGCAGGAATGCTGTGCTCCCTGCCAGCAGCATGTGCCAGATGCTATGGGTATAATAATAGTTGTCACTAGTCATCATGGAGGCGTAGATGGCAATGGCCACAGAGGCCATGGAGATGCCAGGCAGGAGGTAGAAGACCCAGCGTTGCCAGGAAGTAGGGTAGCAGTGGCGCCGGTGCCCACAGTGGTACACCTGGAGAGAATCATCATGAGAACATTGGCACAGGGGCTGCAGCTGTAGCTCCCAGGGGCCCATCCAAGTCTGAGCAGCATGACCATGGATGTGCGCCACTTGGAAGAGGCTCAAGAGCACAGAGACTTGACGGGTCCTCAGGCCCAGACCTTGACATGAAACTACACAAGGCCGTGAGTGGAGAACTCATTCAGACCCAGGACCAGAAACATGGCCAGAATCAGTGGACAGACTCTTTTCTCCCAGAGTGGGGGGGGTCTATGGGGAGCCAACACTCTCTTATTCCAATTAGCAGGAGATAGAGTCCGGGCAAGAGCTCCTTACCCACATGGTGACCATGAGTACCAAGGCAAAAAGACAAGGCCCCATCACATTCCAGATGCCCATGCGGTTCAGCTGCAAGGACATGGCGAACACCAGTGTGCCCAGTAGAAGCAGAACCTGAGCAAAACAGAGACGACCACAGGGTCACAGGAACCCCAGGCCAGGGTCGTCCATGAGGGCACAAGGTCCAGCAGGAGCATGTGACCTGGGCATACTGGTCATCCTGCTATCACCCCACTGCCCCCCAACACCTCCGCCTGCCCCGTTGGAGCTGCTAGTACACTGTTCTGCTCCGCTGGCAGGGAAAGAGGCACCCCTCCTCTAATTACTGATTCATTCTGAGGCAC